ACAAGGTGTTAGGAATTCAGCTAGAATTTCCTGTTTCCAATAAGCCAGGTGGAATGAAGTGGGCAAGCCAGTACTGAATGCTCCATATTCTGGTTTTCTCATTCTCAATCAAATAATGGCTTTTATTTTGCATGATTCAGTGCTTTATTACGTTGCTAAATCCCATTTATCTCTGTCAGACCTGCTTTACCCCGAGGTGTTTTGGTGTGTGTTTTTTTAACCATATTTTGTATGGCACCAATACCTGCATATTGTTTAAAACAACACCCGTTAAGAGTTAACTCCCAGCAGGAGAAAAAAAGGCCAACTGAGTCCCCATAGCTGGATATCTATCAAGAAATCACCAGTTCTCTGATGTTTGCTGTGGGCAAAGGAAAACAAAGCTCTACCAGCCATAAATCAACGCCTGTGTGCGGGTACTGTCAAAATGAGCTGCTGAGGCACCCTCTGATCCAACCTGTGGGCCAAGAAGTGCTGTCTTTTCTACATCCCAGTGTTTGGAAATGCCCTTGTGCTCAAGGAAGAGCTGGGGTGCCTCAAATACAAACATCCAGAAGGTAATGGGCATCTCCAGGTTGTGTGGGAAACTTCATTAGGTGCCTTTAAAAGCCAGGCCTTTCTCACATAAGCTGTTAATTGTGCCTTGCTTGAGATAAGTACATTAAAAATATTCCAGCTACAGATGGGCTTTGAAATCAGAGCTGGATTTTAAATATCAAAATGTCTGGAATGGTTTGATATTTCTTCTTCTTCTTCTTTTTTTTTTTCTTCCCCCCCTTCCTCTATTAGAAAGATGAGAAACAAACCCTAGGCTTTTTGGGTCCAAACTTTCATATAGTTGTATGGGGTGCCTGCCTGGGTTTTGGCCTGCTCCCATCTCCATCTATTCTATTAAAACAGTTAAAGGCATTCTTCTCTTCCCCCTTTTCCCCTGCAGCTGGAAAGTATCCCCTGCTTTCGTGCAAACAAACATCAATGCTGCCTGTTGTATAAGCCTGTGGTTGGTTCAGTTTGCCTTCACTGGAGTGACCTATATATCTGTAACTTCATACAAGATGTGTAGGTGTGGGATTAAAATCTTTCCAATCAGACAATTTTCAAATGCATAAAAAGTTTGACTTCTGTCAGGAGCCTCCCCTGTTTGGACAAGATGAGCAAGAAATCCAGACGCGTTCCTGAGATGTGAGGCATAAAAAAGGAACAAGAATATGATGACATGGTAAAATGTCCCTGCATTCAAATATTGCAAATACTTTTATAGAGAGAGCTGATTTCAGAATACCACTGCAAAAATCACTTGATTCTCTGAAAATAAGTAATAGCTTACAAATGAAAGTTGAGAAAGAAAGGCTTCTTCACTTTTACAATGTACAGAGCAATATGTGCACCAGGGCTGTCTGTCAGCACTGACTGATGATTCCTGAGTCTGGGTCCTGTTTCATGGCAAAGCCTGTGCTCCCAGCTTTGGAACAAAAGATCACCAGAGATAACTGATGGAAAACACATCCCAGTTATTGACTAAGCAGCCTCACCTTCACCCTGCAGCTAATTGCAAGGTAAAAAACTGTGGTAAAAATGTCCATTTTATCAACCAATTTGGTTTATTTCTGCTCCAGATAAATGAAGCAATATTCCATTACCATCTCAGACCATGCTTTATTTTTTTCTATGTAGACTTGTTATGACAAAATTTCTTTCATTTTAATTAAATTTTTCTAGATACTATCCTCATACAATTAGCACTCAGAGAGGTATAATCACTACTTTTAATAGAAGAGGGTTAATGCTTGTTAAAAATGCTAGAGTAGCATTTGTCACTACTTTTGTTTGTCTGTCTGCAGGGAGAGGATGATCAAGGGCTCCTCAGATCTGCTTTTCCTGGGTGATCTTCATACCAATTTAAATTCTGCTCTACCAAGTGGGTAAGTGCTTGGTTATTTTTGGCACACAAATAATCTGGTGACTTCAGTGAGGTTGTTGGAGTGTTTCAGTGACACAGGTTTGAAATGAAGCATTTACTTAAATACTTGACTGCCTTCTGGGTTTGACCTCTGCTTTTTTTTCCTGCAAAACTGATTTCATACAACTCATTTCTAGTTAACAGCCACCACTGCTTGGAACTGGACTGAGATTTCATTTAATTTATATCACCAGAGAGCTACAAGGTGGTAACAACTTTCTGCTGCTGGCACGATCCAGCCTGAGCCAAGATGAACAAGCCTGGAAATGAAGGAGAATTCAGCCTGTGCCTTGATTTCCTTGGGGGGGAAGGGACAAAGATGACTGCAAGTGTAGGGCTCCTATCAGCCACGGCAAGCAAACACTAAATATTTTCAAAGTGACCTGAATTAACCTTCTTGTAATGGCAAAACACACACAAGTAGAGCTGTCAAGGACACAGCGGTCCTGCTTCCCTGCTGACAACCTCCAGGGATGTCCCAGGTACCAAAGGACACTTCAAGTGGCCCCAATAACCTGTGTTTAGGCAACAGAGTTATACCTTCCTGACTGAGAATGGTCCCAAATGGGGATTTGCACCAAGGACAGGCAACCTTGCTGCTTAGCCAAGTTCTGAAGTTCATTCTCAGGAAAACTCCCACTAATTTAAGGCATGCCAGGATTTCATTTACTGGTGGGAAATGTGAAACCTCCCTGGCTAAAGTATCTTAATTAGGCCATTAGAGCCTGGTATAAAATGGCTGAGATAAACAGGGGCACAGGATATTGTCAATGCATTGTAAAGCCTTTTCTGCTCTGCCCCAAGTTCAAACTGTCCAGATCCACATTTTCATGGGATAAAACACTTGAGCCCTCTGTGGGGTGGCTCCTGGTAGGGCTCTTAAGTCCGTGCTTTTCACTTGACCTGTGGGCAGGGATCCACAGCTTCTCTCCCCTCTGCTGCCTTGTGCTGCTTGGACTTTCAGTTTCTAATTCTGGTGTGTTTTAATTTGGTGCAATTTTTGGATTCACTGTGTGTGTTTGGGGCAGTTTGAAGAGCCTCATCTTTGGTTTTCCTGTGCAGGGGCTGGTTCCAAAATGGGGGATCTGTCACCTGTTCTCTTCATATTGCTTTTCCAGAAGTGTTTTAACAGCTGTCATTAGTTACTCCAGGAGACTGAAATCAAAGAATTTGGTGAATCTGGGGCCTGTGTTGTATATATGTGTACAGGAGGAGATGCAGATCATAGAATCATAAAACAGAATAACAGAATGGTTTGGGTTGGCCATCCAACCTGGCCTTGAACACTTCCAGGGATGAGGCAGCCACAGCTTCTCTGGGCAACCTGTGCCAGGGCCTCACCACCCTCACAGGGAAGAATTTTTTCCTGATATCTGATCTATGACTACTCTCAGTTTGAAGCCATTGCCCCTTGTCCTGTCACTTCATGCCCTTGTAAAAAGTCCTTCTCCACCTGTCTTGTAGGCTGTGAAGGTACTGAAAGGTGCTATCAGGTCTCCTTTAAGTCTTCTCTTCCACAGGCTGAACAACCCCAACTCTCTCAGCCTTTCCTCATAGGGGAGTTCTTTGGTGGTGTTTTTGTATAAAAAAGTGACAAATCCAAAATATTCACCTTAAAAGAGCAAAAGAGGGACTTCTAGAATGGCATAACAGGGTTTTTTTTCTCTACAGATAGATGGTAAAAATTTCTCGTTTTTACTTTGAGACATAATTTCTGATGTCAAGAATTTATGCTCAGAAGTGAGATAAGGCTAAAAGCTGTACATGTGGGAAATTAAATGCGAGTGTGAAACTCTCAGCTTATTACTCACTACCAGCAGTCTGCACATTCCTGCAACTAGGTTTGTATTCTTATCATTTGAGAGCTAGTACTTGATCAGGCTGTTAGACTTGCGTGAGTTATTGTTTCTTTTTATTTGTTGTTGTTGGCTTTTTTTTAATCCAAATAATCTATTGGAAGAACACATGTGGTGACAAATACTATTGCTGAGTTTGCCTGTATTTAGGAGCTGAAAAAATATGGAAAAGTAGAAATACTATGATTCCTAAAACCGTTAGTGAAAATTACATTTTTATTTAAAGAATGCACAGTTTTTAAAAATAAAAATCCCACACTGGCTGTAGCCTCTGTGGCAGCTGGGGCTTTTTCCTCTAGTGAGTGTGGGGAGGCTGCAGTGTCCCTGCTTTCCAGGGCAGAAAAGCCTTTTAGAGTTCTCTTTACATCGAGGGTGAGGGTGTTTTTTTGTTAAATCGGTGGTAATTATCTTAAGCAAACATGTGCTGTTGGGCCTGTTCAGCCTCGAGAAGAGACACTGGGGGACCTCATCCATGTGTGTCAGTGTCTGCAGGGAGGGGACAGAGGATGGACCAGGCTCTGCTCGGGAGTGCCCGAGGCCATGGGCAGGACAAGATGGCACAAGAGGCCATGGGCAGGAACTGATGCCCATGAAGTTCCACCTGGACATGAGGAAGAACTTTGCTGTGGAGTGACCAAGCACTGAACAGATTGTCCAGAGAGGGTGTGAAGTCTCCCTCACTGGGAGAACCGTCTGGACACAATCCTGTGCCATGTGCTCTGGGATCAGGGAGGTGGGAGCAGATGCCCCACTGTGGTCCCTCCCAACCTGACCCATCCTGTGATTCTGTGAAGTCCCGCACAGGGAATACAGCTCTGTTTGCTTCCGATTAAAAAAAACCTAAAAATAAAGGATTCGTGGCTCCTGAAGTTTGAAAGCCATAAACCAGAGGGTGACATAGGCTGAGTGACCACACCAAACGCAGTCTCCGGGCAGAGGGGAAGGGTCTCAGCCGCGGGGACCGCCCGCGCCCCCTCACCGCGGGGAATTTCCGAGGCTTTCCGAGGGTCTCCGCCGCATCTCTCCCGGCTGAGGGGGTGCAGGGGCTGCGATCCCGGGGGTGTCCGGCCCCTGCCTGAGCCCGGGGGTGGCTGCGGGGCGGGGCGGGGGCGGGCGGGGGGCGGAGGAGGCGCGGGGGGCGGGCGGGGCCGGGCCGGGAACTCCGCGCACACCGCGCTCATGTCAGCCCGCACCGCGCCGCAGGGGCCGCGCAGAGCCTCCCTGGATCCCTCCGATTTGCCTGTATTTTAATTCTTTAATTTATTTAATTTTAAATTTTTTTGTTTTGTTTTTTACGAAGGAGGGAGAGGAAAGCGGAAAAAACACCCCCGGCTTCCCGGGAAAAAAAAAAAAAGAAAAAAAAACAAACCCAAGAAAAAAAATGAGCCAGAATGTCTGAGAAAATGTCCAGCTTTCTGTATATCGGGGACATCGTGTCCCTGTACGCCGAGGGCTCCGTGAACGGGTTCATCAGCACGCTGGGGTGAGTGAGTGCGGGGCTCGCAGCCCGCGGCACAGGAAGGGGCGGCAGCGCGCCCTGCTCGGCGGAGCGGGGAAAGTAGGAAGTGCTGGGGAACGGGAAGGGATGAGAGAAGTTCTCGGGGCCGGGGAGCGGGGCCCGGGCCCCGCCGTACCTCCTCCTGCAGCTCCCGGCACTCCCCGGTGCCCCCGGGAATACCCGAGGTTCTTCAGACCCTGCGCTGTGCTGTGCCCTTAGAGCAGTCAGCACGCAGAGCTGCCATTTATCATCTATCTATCTAATCTATCTATCTATCTATCTATCTATCTATCTATCTATCTATCTATCTATCTATCTATCTATCTATTTATTTTAGTTGTACCTCTGAGAATTTCTGACAATTTCCTTGATCATCTTGCCATGAATCAGCTCGTTAAAAACTTGCACCCCTTTGCTTCTGGTTTGTGTCTGCCTGAGGTCTTGTCTGTGGTTGTTGATGATCAGATACTTACGATCAGATAGTTTAATTTAATGGAGATGCCTTTTTTCCCCCGTGAGCTCTTCTTTCTCTCTGCAGGGTGAAAGGGTGTGTAGTTTAGCTGTGGCTGCTTCGCTGAACTGCCGCTTGCTTCAGTTTTTTATTAACCTCGGCCACTTTAAATCACCTTCTTGGAATCCAGGAGGGAAAACCTCAGCGAATGACGATAGCGATACATTGATACATTTCTTTGAAGTTTGGCTGCAGTGAGGTGTCCCGAGGGTGCAGCGGTTCCCTCTGATGTTCCCAGGAGAGCTGCAGTAGTTCCAGTAACTTTGTGGCATGTCCAAAGTAAGCGTGTCCTGAAACCTTTGTCACTGGCAACGTCTCCTGCACTCCATGGATTGTAGCGATCCCATGGACAAGGCAGCTCAAACTCTAGTTAAATATCAGTGTCATTTGCTGCTTAAATGTTAATGGTACCTTTTGGAATAACAGTTAAACCTGCCAAGGCTGGTTAACACGGGTATCGCTCCTGTATTGGTGTAGCCTCCCTGTGTTCTGTGATCCCTTCCATGGGGGACTGTAGGGTGAAGTAAGGTTGGTATTAAAATGCAAACAGTGAATGTGTAAGATACTTGGTGTGGTGCTGCTACTGGAAAAGAGATGGTGTTCAAGGTCTTTTATATATTTTTTAATCTTATTATTGCATCCAATCCTTGCTGTTCACTCTTTTAATCTGTTGACAAGTGTTTTTCAATGGTTTGTTCCTCTATTTGTTAATTTGGCGCCTCCTCTCACTGACTGTCTGTGTTGTCTCACATGTCCTTTCTGACATTGCTGACTCTGGCAATTTTAAATCCTGCCTGAAAATGTTTTCTTTCTGCAACTGTTTATTGCTGGATATTGTTTCTTACTCTTCTAACCCCAGCACTTTTTTTTTTTTTATTTCGCCATTGGTTTGCTGTCTCGTTCTGTCTCATCTCTGTGTTCTGCTATGTGGAGGAAGCTAAATTTGCTGTGCTTTCCTTTTCATTGTGTTCTTCCTTTATGAGAGCACCTGCTTGTCCACAGTTACGGATGTTTCTGCTGTGACTAATGCTTGTATGACTGTCACTCCAGTATGTGTTTTGACATTGCTGTGCCACAGTTTTAAGGCTGCTGATCCTCCCCTTATCCCTTGGAGTTAAGGCAGGACATTTATTCCCAGTTTTAAAGATGAGTAGCAAAGATCAAACCTTGTCTAAGGCACATGGGAGCTCTTTACTAGAAGAAATAATTGAGCTCAAGCCAACACTCTGTCCAGGCTCTCTTTCAGCCCAGCTCAAGAAAACTGCTTGGGATGAGACAGGACTCCTATGTGCATCTCTTCTTCAGTGACAGGCCAGGAGTTCAACAATGCTGATGTACCTCTGTTGGCTTTTCAGTCCAACTTTTTTGTGCCCTGCTCTCTGGCATGGTAAAAGCAGCCCCAGAGCCAGGAGGCTGGAGTGGAGGAGCTGCAGGAAACTTGAAGTTGCCAGTGGAAAAACCCCCATATCTGCTGAATGGGAATGAACCCCTCTGCTGGTGGTAAAAGAGCTTGGACTGACATTTGAAGTTGTGATGCCAAGTTACCGTATCTGTGCCAGCTCTTGCAATTGCTGCCTTTGGACTAGTTGCAGCAACACTAGAGGCAGAAAAAACCTCTTATACTCAGGGAAAACTTGCTCAGCTGCACTTTGCAAACATCTGAAAAGATGAACCCTCATTTTCCACAGATGCCTCTAGTTAGTGAGGACAAGGTGCGGTAGGATTAGGAATGATTTCTCTTAGTTTTTGACTGCTGTGGGTCCTTGTGTAATTCCCTTTGCCTGGGTTACACCTGAAATGTTGCCGGGCGAACCAACCTGTCACCTGCACTATGGAGCCCACTGGGGAGTCTCCTGCTGTTTCAAGAACTTGAAATCCAGTTCAGTTCTATGACTCTGGAGCAGGGATAGAGTCCTGTTGATTTTAAGCTGTCAAAGGCTGATTGTTTCCTAAACAAAGTGTGAGCAAGGCCGTTCTATAAATAGGATAAAAAAGTGCCCAGCACCTCTGCAAGCAGGGAAGGTCTGTCATGACAGGGGACCTCACTCCTTGAGGAGTTGAACCAGCTCAACAAATGGGTTTTGAGGGAGATTTCTAAGCATAGGCTGTTTCATGCATTTTAGAGTATTTTTTCCTCACTTGCTGGTGCAGAAATTTTCACGTGCTCCGCTTTCCCTGAAAACTTAAAGCGAAGAGAAAGATGTAGCTGAGCTGTTCAGGTCATGTGTGGGGTCAGGTTAATAGCTCCTATAACCTGAGTGTGGAAATATTCCTCTTGTGTAGTTTAGGAGGTCCCAACTGCCTTTTTTAGGAGACAGGGGATCTGCACCCTTGGCCCTTGATCCAGGTGAGCCTGGTGAGGGCAGGAGGGCCTTTCCACACCTCCCTCTGGAATGAGCGTTTGGGAATTGCTGGAACAAGATTCTGTGAGTGGTACTGAAAGGGTTGGGGCACTCCTTTGAGCTGGAGGAAATCTGTGTTCTCCTCCGTCTTGTCTCTGAACTGTCTCATGACTATAAACAGCTGTTGGATGTGGGGGTGAGGGCTCTATTTTCACATTTGATCTCTCTTAGTCTGAAGAGGAGACTGAACCTCTCTTCCACACCTGGGGTTAGTGCTGTAGGGTGGGATGGGGGCAGGGAAGTCAGACAGTGCCTGCTCCAAATTCTTCCTCCTATATCCATATTTTAAGAGGCAGAGATTTGGCTCAGTTTTTTTGGAAGAAGAGGTGTAACCACTGATCTCCAGGAGGATGTTCCAGGCTGTGGATCCACATGGAGAGGGGCATCTCTGGCTATTGGTACAGGAAAGGGTTTTAGGGCTCAGCATTTTCAGCAGGCCTTTGGATACTTGAGGTACTGAGAATCCAAACAATCCCCTGCTCTTTTTTCTGCTTGGCTTTGGGCTTATTCTGGATTTGGATGCTGCTCTGAGGTGCTGATGGTGTGTCTTCTGGCTTTTCCAACCCCCACCTCCCCCTCCTTCCTTTTTAAATAGGAGAATGCTTTTGGACATATAAGCTGATAGCCTTGCAATTTAGTGCAGAAAAGGAAACGTTTGGGAGAAGGAATTTACATCCTTTGATAGTTTTCTGCCCTTGCAAGATGTATTTTGTGCTGGGTTATGGAACTGTGCTAATACTGAGGGGTTTGACACAGTAAAACTTTTGCACAGTTGGAGGCTTTATGTCCCACAGGGAGGGTGTGTCAGAGCCAGGCAGTGAATCCAGTTATCTTAAGTTGTCTTAGACTGGTGTCTGAACCTTGAGACCACCTTTCCCAGTATTTTGGTTGTGAATGCTGGGAATGAAAATTGTATTAATCACCTATCAGTACAACGAGGAGAAAAAAGTATTCCTGATGGGAGGGGTGGAAGGAAAAAAGCAAGTAAGGACAATGGCCAGGATCAGCTGTAGGAAAGTTTGAGGATGAGCCTTTTAGTCACCATGGGGAGCTGCATTCCTGTCTCACCTCCATAAATGTGCTTCTGTGCCATAGCAGGGAGAGATCTCATGGAACATAATCACTGGAGCATGAAGCAGGACCCGCCTGCTTGGTCATACATGGCCTTGAATGATGAGGGGTGCTGGGATGTATTTCTCATTAGCAGCAAAAAGTGTGTTGTAGAGTATTTTTACTAATTTTCCTCAGTCTAATGTTGATTTTTTCCTGAATATCTCCTCTTAATTTTTCAAAGCGCTTCCTGGAACTTTCTTATTTGAAATATCACAGGTTTATTCAAGCTCCTTCACTGGATTTTTGTGCAGGAGCTGTCTTTTTGAAGTTGGACTTCACACACAGGTTGAGTCAATCACACTTCGTGAAGAGGCAAGGTGAAGTAGAAAGTGCTTTAGAAACAGCATATATCAGAATATTCCAAATATAACAAAGGCTAAAACTTGTCATCCTGGTGCCTTCAGGCATGGTCCCTAAGAGAAAAGATGCAGTGACTGATGATGCTCACAACACACCAATGCAGAGTTTTCATCAGAGCCCTTATTTTTCTAACCCTTCTCTCCTACTGTCTGAAGATGTAAGCCATGGTTAAGGAACAGAGTATCCATCCTTTAATTAATAGCAAATTTTTCTTTCATGTCCCAGCTGAAAAAAGGTAATTAGTCAGGAAAGAATAAAAAAGCCTGAAGAAAGTGAGAGTGGCATAACTAGAGTTACTCATAATTTAGTTCTGGTATATGTAGAATCAAATAATACCTGGAAGAGGAAAGGGAAGATGCATTTCAGCTTTTCTGTGGGCAGAAGTACTTGTAGGTTTTGTTTCCTAGGTACTTTATCCTCCAGACTAACAGTACCAATGAGATTTGACAGTTTTGATTGTGTGTAATTTTTTTTAAATACTGTGTAGGTTTGGCATTTTCAGGAATACGTTCTTTTGGTTGTCTTTCTGATGCAGCAGCCCTGCTCTGAACCCTCCAGCTACTTTGAATATATGCTAATGTACACTTTTCAGCTGTGTG